ATTATAATATGTTAAATGACAAGTTATGTTCTATCTCTAGAGTATATTTTACACTGCTTTAAAAAAAGGATTAATGTGATGTCACTGTGGCCTTTTGTGACCCTAACATATGCCGTTTTTAGGGGTTTTAGGGGTTAACCCTAACCCAATCCTATGTCATTTAAGTGCTCTAGATAATGGGCTGCAAAGTTATCTCAAACCTACAATTATTTGAAATCAACTAGGCTACACTTCAGAAACAGTTTATGTAAAAATGTATGCAGATTTGCTTTCTGCTAGTCCTGCTGTTGGAAGGTTTATTTGGGGTGTTTCAGGTGCATAGCAAAGACTGAGTACTCGTAGTAATTAGAGGAAAATCATATTTACAGTTTCTTTGGATCAATTCACAGCAAATCAACAAATTATTTATGTATTCACGTTTCTGTCTCAGAATGATTGTTGTATTTACCTTTGAATGTGGCAGTCATTTATTGTGAATTGACATTGTGAAGCTTCATACTTTGTCAACTGAAACTTTCACAAACAAGTAGTGAACATATGGGCTCTTCGAGCTACTTTAGGAGTCATTCTGAACAGTCTAGCGTAAAAAATGATTCACTAAGTCACTATGCCAGACAGGTCATGACCCACCAATAATGATTTTTTCACTCGACAGTACAGAGTTGACAGTTCACACTAGTAGATTGAATGTATAGAAAAGCAGTCATAACAAACTGATGTATTGATTAACTTGAAATCCGCCTAAATCTGAGAGCATGTGCAACACAATCTGTAGATATGGCTAAAGATTAAAAGGAGGATCCAAATAATGACTTTAGGTTTAGGCAAGCAAAGATACCGTACACAACAGTTTGGATCCAGGGAGGTGTAAGCGAGGGCCAATCAAAAACCAGCAACTCCACAGGACGTGTGCTATTACACTAGCCTAATGAAAAGAGAAACTTTTAGGCTTTGCTAAAGTGAATTAAAGTTAAGAGGATTGGACACTCTAATAGTATAAGTAAAACGCAAGCAAAAGTGAGCAGGCTATAAGAAAAAGAGACTTCACAGGTCAAAAAAGTCTGAAGGGAATAAAAAAAACATTCACGAGAAAATAAAAGAGTGTTTCAAAAATCAAAACGTTTAACCCAAAGTACTCATGTTTCTTCTTCAAAATATGCATTGAATTAGTAGGAATATCCTCTCAATCCGAACCTGGGAATTTTCTGGGGCCTTCGTCCTCTTTCTGCTGCCTCTTTCTCCAAATTATATTTCAACCCTTTGGCTTTACACGTCACTTTCCTTTGAGACTGCTCTCCTCCTACCTGTCTGCACTCCTCTCCAGTATTCCATTTCTCACTAACTCACCTGTTCCATTTCCCGCTATCCCTCTGTCAACTCCTATTCCAGTAGCAGCCATCCCCGTGTTTCCTAATCCCCCTCCTCCCATTCCTGACACAACTCCTCTCCTCTCCTCCTTCCCTCCCCTGCTCCTTTTCCTTCAAGCCCCCACTCTGCACCTATCTTTGGTGGAAGCTGTCCTCCTTTCTCCTCCCCTCATCTCCTTCACTCCAGGCTCCTCCTGCATGTTTACCCCCCCCCCCCCCCCCCCCCCCCCCCCCCCCCCCCCC